ATTTTTTCTCCTCTTCCAAATCCAGCTGCTTTCACTCTAGGCCTCTGCTTGTTTAGCTGTCCTACATATCCCATGTGATTCATAGATTCTAGGACTGGAAGGGACCTCGAGAGGTCATCGAGTCCAGTCCCCTGCCCTCATGGCAGGACCAAATACTGTCTAGACCATCCCTGATAGACATTTATCTAACCTACTCTTAAATATTTCCAGAGATGGAGATTCCACAACCTCCCTAGGCAATTCATTCCAGTGTTTAACCACCCTGACAGTTAGGAACTTTTTCCTAATGTCCAACCTAGACCTCCCTTGCTGCAGTTTAAACCCATTGCTTCTTGTTCTATCCTTAGAGGCTAAGGTGAACAAGTTTTCTCCCTTCTCCTTATGACACCCTTTTAGATACCTGAAAACTGCTATCATGTCCCCTCTCAGTCTTCTCTTTTCCAAACTAAACAAACCCAATTCTTTCAGCCTTCCTTCATAGGTCATGTTCTCAAGACCTTTAATCATTCTTGTTGCTCTTCTCTGGACCCTTTTCAATTTCTCCACATCTTTCTTGGGGTAGTGAATGGCTTTGCCAGGATGGGGTTCCCTAACTGTTGTGGGGTGATAGAGATGTGCGTTCCATTTATCTTGGCACCAGACCACCTTGCCAAAGAGTACATAAACTGCAAGGGGTACTTCTCAATGGTGTTTCAAGCGCTAGTAGATCACAAGAGTCGTTTCACCGACATCAACGTGGGATGGTCGGGAAAGGTACATGACGCGTGCATCTTTAGGAACTCCGGTCTCTTCAGAAAGCTGCAAGAAGGAACTTTATCCAGACCAGAAAATTACCACTGGTGACTTTGAAATACCAATAGTTATCCTTGGAGATCCAGTCTATCCCTCGCTCCCGTGGCTCATGAAGCCGTACACAGGCAGCCTGGACAGCAGTAAGGAGCAGTTCAACCATAGGTTGAGCAAGTGCAGAATGGTGGTAGAATGTGCCTTTGGACATTTAAAGGGGCACTGGCAGTTTACTCACTAGGTTAGACCTCAGCGAAAGCAATATTCCTGTTGTTGCTGCTTGCTGTGTGCTCCATAATACCTGTGAAAGTAAGGGGGGAAAAGTTTCTGGCAGGGTGCGGGGGTTGAGGCAGATTACCTGGCTGCCAATTATGAGCAGCCAGACACCAGGGCAATAAGAAGAGCACCTCGAGGCGCACTGCTTCTCCCAGAGGCTTTATTCATAGATTCATAGATTATAGGACTGGAAGGGACCTCGTGAGGTCATCGAGTCCAGTCCCCTGCCCGCATGGCAGGACCAAATACTGTTTAGACCATCCCTGATAGACATTTATCTAACCTAGTCTTAAATATCTCCAGAGATGGAGATTCCACAACCTCCCTAGGCAATTTATTCCAGTGTTTAACCACCCTGACAGTTAGGAACTTTTTCCTAATGTCCAACCTAGACCTCCCTTGCTGCAGTTTAAACCCATTGCTTCTTGTTCTATCCTTAGAGGCTAAGATGAACAGGTTTTCTCCCTCCTCCTTATGACACCCTTTTAAATACCTGAAAAAACTTTCCCCCCAACTAAATAATTTCCATCTCTTCCCACAGGAAATTCTTGTCAGGCCTCTGAAAATTTTGTCACCCATCTCTGGACCCACTTCGATTTGTGCTATATCATTTTTGAGATACAGAGACAAGAGTTGAGCACAGTAATCCTGGTGAGTTCACAAACCCCTGAGTTACAGAAGGGCACTGTAATGTTTTCAGTATTATTGTCTACCGATTTTTATATGGCCTAGCTCTTTTTGCTATCCTTTCTCGTTAATGCTCTAAGCACACAAAAAACTACTTGAATTCTGTACATCTTTATTTACTGTGCTCTCCCTCTGCTTATTTTACCTTATCTAAGAAACTTGAACTGATCTATGAACCATTTATACTCTCACATTAGGACAGTACTCTTGCCATTGCCAGATCATTGTGATTGCAAAAGATCAAATTAAGGTAACAACAATGCTATTGCAATAGATTTGTTCCAGTTCTGTTGTGGTACCGTATATTCAATAATAGAAAAATGGTGACCACTGAATCTTACTGCTGTGGTATCACGATGTTCAGATTTCTACCAGGAGTGTGTGGGAATGTTCCTAATGCCATATCAGGCACTCAACATTCAAAACAACTACCAGTTTGCTAAGAAGTGAAAACGTCACTGTCTTAGGAACAAGGGTTTTTCAACATGTATTTGTACTGTTTTCCAGCTTCTTGGAATTTTAATTTCTGTCAGCATAGTGAATTTCTTAGTCTTTGACTGGCAAAAGCAGTAACCTTGATTGTGCATTTCCTTTACTTTTAAGGCTTGTGGTAGCAGGAACAACATTTAGGAAACCTTGTCTCCAGTGTCTGACAAAAAAAAATCATTACACTTATGTTTATGTTACTTCAGAGCCATGTTCTTTACAAAATTCACACCTGAACCGCATAGCATTCCTTTGCTAATAACATGAGCTCATTTGAGTTTGTCTCCAACTGGAATTGTTTGAGAGAAATGACAGAGAAAAGCCTTTCCTGTAGCTATGTCCAAAAGAGCAAACTCTCATCCTCCGGAGCACAGTGCTGCAAACATCCCAGCCTTGTTTACTTGGTCACTTTGTGCCATTTTCCCTGGAGTTCTGGGAGCAAATACTGACCAGCAGCCAGCCATGGAAATTCAGGCATCAGAAATCCAGCCAGTTATGACAACTTTCTGATTCACCTCAAAAGTCTATAGTACCTAGGCTCAGATAAGGTGGAAAGAGTCTGCATGGGGCTTATAATGTCATCTCTGACATTTTCTTTACTCAGTGCAACCTGCTAATATGAGAGGTGTTTAGTATATAAAGTATTATCCTTAACTGCAGTGTCAGGGAGTGGAGTTAGGGTACAGTATTGGCACTGGTTGCACTGTACTAATGTATTCATTTGCTTAGGACAGAGACCCAAAAATTCCAGAAAAAGCATTGTCCCCAAAGCCAATTACCGTGAGGTGTGAATAAACCATAACAGGGTCATTTAGATAGATGGTTATGGGTTTTGTTTTCCATTGTAACCAAATCATTCTTCAACTCATAATGGAGCCTTTGTAGATTGGGTCACCCTCCCTTCCCCTCCCCTCCCCTTCCCTTTCCTCTCCTCTTTGCCAGCTAAACCTGCCTTTTCTGCCTGAGCACCAGCAATGAAGTCACTGTAGCTAAAATTCCCAGGCAGCCACAGACTCATCAAGCAACTCACATATTATGCACACATAACAAGGAATCTGTTCCTTTGGTAAGAAAGTGATGAGGACTACTGACCTGATCCCCCAGTTCACCCAGCAGCCACCGTCCTAGGCAACTTCGACCACAGTAACTTTTACAGACTCAGTAGTCACTTCACTCTGACAAATGTGCTTCCAGCTCAATAATGGTTCTTCTGGGGAACACCTGACAAGATGGTTATACCTTGGGCAACACAGGAAAAGCTATTTAAAAAAACCTTTTTAAAACTGTGATGCCGCATAATTCCCATGGATGTGTTTGCAGTATCACATGATCTGGAATTATCAGCTCAGTTCCTGCATGTGTGCTTTGTTCAGCCATGCTCTAACTGCCACCAGTCTATCTAATGCCAATGCACCCACTTCTGGAGCATGTGGGTGCAGACCCTCATCATTGCTTTGGCTTTGTATGAGACATTTTTGGGAGCTAGCCCTTTGTCACCATTACCTTTCTGAATATCTTCTATTGTAACTATCGACAAATGAGCAAGTCTGCCTTGAAACAAGAACTGGAAATATTACAGGGATTATCTTGCATGTCAAAGTTGCTATCCAGTCACTTAACAATCACTCAAAGAAATGATATAAAATATCACTTTTTTACATAGATGAATAATAGAGTGTTTGTCAGTCAATTCTGGGCTGACTGAGCCCCTTTAACTGTCTGAAACCAGAGTCCCTTTTTTTCTAAACCTCCCGAGAAAATGTTGACAAAACAGGCAATTTTCTGTAATTTCCCTGCAAGCTTCTGTCAGCACAAGAGGCAGTCAGAGCCCACTCATTTCAGATAACACCACTGGGTAACCTTTGACATTTACCTCCTCGCTGACTTCGGAGGCTCCTGGAAGTGTAACAGTTGTGTCTTTCAGGTTGCAGGATGCAGGCCCACAATTTGGGTCTTAGTTCACTGAAGGCAGCCTTTGTTTCCCAGCTGACTAAGAAGTTCTTCTAAAAGGGATAAGAAATGTAGTTAATAGCTCAAGAGTGGCCTAATCATCAGCTGCCATTACCCCTCCAATATTAGGAGGGATGACAGACTTATCAATAACAGAGCCCCAGGTGAGGTACATGAGCTGATAATGTGAATTTCGGCTTGATCTCTGCTCCGCTGAGCGCAGCACTAATTTAAAAGAAGCACCAGTGTCTATTTTTTACTTCATATTGTGCCAAAAATCAGTCAGCTGCAGAGCTTTTGTTGTGTTTTTCTATCTTAAACCATGAGGATTTGACCAATTTCATTTATAAGTAGAGATGAAAACCTAAGAACTCTCCCATTAAACAGCTTAAGCCAGAGAGATGCCCCCTGTGCATTTATTTCAATATGTGATAATAAAGATGGAGAGCATGCCTGTCTCAATATGCATAAATGCAGAGTTACACATATATATACACACACATGCACACCACCCACACATACTGCACTCAGTGCAAGTATTGTTCTCTATAACTGAATAAAAGTTTAAAACCGAAACATTATATAGGTTATCTCTAAGGAATGTTTGAACAAAAGGTATCAACATTTGTTTAATAAAAACCCATTTGTTCATTAAAAATAAAATGAACTCATTCATCACTAAACACTTAACATTCATTGTATACATGGTATGGGATTTGTTTTATATCTCTCCAGGTATTTATATGGCCTCATCACCATAGTTTCTGAAGACGTTGCAGAGAGCCTTTTGCCTGACTTGTTTGAACAATCTACATGTCTGATATATATATATATATAAAACCAGATGTCTGCCACAATTATTAATTATATAATTATATAATGGTTGCAAAAAACTAAAAATGCAGCCAAAGCAGCCAGGGGAGTTCAAAACTACTGGCCTGACTGACAGTGAGCCCAATCCCACTCCCGTTGACCAGAGGGAGAACAGGGTTGGGCACAGTGTATCCTGTGACTTGCCCTTTCATGTACATTATTGCCTGTTTGGTATGTAAACATAGGAATTGCCCAAGTGGATCAGCCCCGCAGTTCATCTTGTTCCATATCCTGTCTCTCACAGTGGCCAGCACCAGCTGCTTCAAAGGAAGGTATAATAACCCAGCAGTAGGAGATGTGGGATAATCTGCCCTCTACTTTAAGTCACATGCCCGCTAATAGTTAGAGATTGGCTTAAAACTTGAAGCATGAGGCTTAATATCCTTTCCACAAAGTTGATCAGCATCAGTTATGACAACTCTGAATAGCCTTGATATGCATATAAATGTCCAATTCCTTTTTGAATTATATTGAATTCTTGGCCTGAATGACTTCCTGTGACAATGAGTTACAGTTTAATTATGCATTGTGTGAAAAAGTATATCTTTTCATCAGTTTTGAATTTCCCACATTTTAACTATATTGCCTTATTGTTATGACTATGGATACAATTTTGTCATGGTAAAATTAAGCAAAATTAATGGAACAATCATGGGGGAAAAGGACAAAACCAGGGCATGGTCACTGCAGGGCTGAAGCTGAAGCTGGAGCCCCACCACCCATGACTCACAGCCCAAGCCCTACCACCCAGAGCTGAAGCTGAAGCCAAAAAGTCATGGAGATCTGTTAAAGTCAAGGAATCCGTGACCAAATCATATCCTTAGTTATGAGAGAGGGAGAACAGAAGTTCCCAATTTGCCCTTGCTAAACTACTCATTTTTATATATTTTTATGTCCCTTTGTTTTCCTCTGATTCTTGAAAAATGCAAATCACATGAATGGGTGATTAGTAAACCTTAAACATGGCTCCAACTTGGGTTCCTCCACGTGGCAAGCCTGGGCATCCTATACGCTGAGAATGTTCCCCAGCATCATGCGTCTAAGCTACAGAGGGAAATGCAGCCGTGCAGAACTAGAGGGGAAAATCATCCATTCCTCAGTTTGGGCCTGATCCAAAGCCCGTGAAAGCCAAAGGGAATCTTTCCATTGATTTGAATGGGTTTGGGGTCAGTGTCCTTTGCACAGTGAAAATCACACTCCCCCTGGTACTGCAGTTAACTACCTCATCCCTTCTCACGTGGGGCCTATTCCTTTGAGAGTTTGGTTGAGTCCACTTTGAGGCTCTTTACAAAGGGAGATTTACAAAGGCACAAATGGAAGTTAGGGAATAAATTGTCCCTCTCATCAGAGCCTTTATAAACCCAAAGCACTTCTTCCAACCGAATCCCTAGCTAGCAGCTCCACCCACTGCACTGAATGCAGCTGAGTGTTCAGAACAGATCACATCTAAAAAGGGTTTCTTGATTGTCAAACTATGTTCCGTTTGTTTTTTAAAAACTTAAAATTATATTTCTTTTTAATCCTTTTCTTTTGAAATAAGGGAACCTTTAATACAGCCAAAGTGTATGTTTTTTTTAATCATATCCAATCTTTCAAGAATGCCTTGTTTTCATCAGGTATTTGATTAGAGTTTTGTTACTAATGCTAGACTTACAGTAGCTAAATCCAATATAATACTTTCCTGAAATATTACTCAGAACTGCTTAGGCTAATATTTCCAAAGCCAGAATTTTTTAAGCAGCTAAGGGCACAATCTCAAATGGCTTAGAGCCACATACCACAAAGTCTGACATTAATACTTTTCCTTACTCCAGAAAGCTCCATGTTTTTAAACGATAGGGGCAATTCTTGCATTGACTTCTGCTCTGGCAGCTTTTTGTTAAGCATTAGACATGGCAGCATGAAGAAGGAAAGAATTTAGAGCTCTAAAACCCAGAGATGATGTAGAAGGTCCCAGCAAAAAACAGACTGGGATCTAAACACAAAGAAATCTGAACCCAGGAAGAAATAATCCCATTGAGTGACCAGTGGCAGATTGCAGAAGTGAAGATACCACCCCAACCGCATATAAAGGGGCTCTGTGCAGTTTCCTGGTGGAGAGGATTCAGCAACGTGAGGCTATAAAGATCCCCCCAGAAGGGAAAAGTGTGCTCACTGCACAGGGATTGTTTCATTATGAGGAGCGGAAACTCCAGAGACTTCTACTGTTCTGTTTCAACAGCGAAACATGAACTGTGCAAAACTCTAAGGGCTCGATCTGAAGGAAAACTAAGCACCCACAACTCCAGCTCAGGTCAATGGAAACTGCAGATCTCAGCACCTCTGAAAATCATTCTGATGGTAAAAAGAACAAGGAGTCCTTGTGGCACCTTAGAGACTAACAAATTTATTTGAGCATAAGTTTTCGTGGGCTAAAACCCACTTCATCGGATGCATGCAGTGGAAAATACAGTAGGAAGATATATATACACAGACGACATGAAAAAATGGGTGTTGTCACACTAACCATTTTTTCATGTCCTCTGTGTACATATATCTTCCTACTGTATTTTCCACTGCATGCATCCGATGAAGTGGGTTTTAGCCCACGAAAGCTTATGCTCAAATAAATTTGTTAGTCTCTAAGGTGCCACAAGGACTCCTCATTCTTTTTGCTGATACAGACTAACATGGCTACCACTCTGAAACCTGATTCTAAAGTTATCTGCTGATTTGAAATAGTAGCGGGGCACAGGGTCCTATCTGATCTGGGGCCTGTCAGGTGCCTAAAGCCAGTTGCATCAGTATTTTCCTCTCCTCCTCCCCTTCCCCAGCTAATAGACATCTTAATGTCGATATTCTGCTGTCTTGAAATTAGTTCTGGTCTCCCATTTACAAGGCCGCTTTGGGATTGAGACCATCCTAGCAATACCTGTATCTGCTCAGTCTAAGAAGAGGAAAAAAATATATACCCGCATTCACCTAAGAAGGCATAGAATAATTTTAATTGCCCTGATGAATGAAGAGTGTATTACCCAGGCTACCAGGAGTCAGAGAGCAGAGATGGGGAGCCCAGAAAGGTTCTGCTCTCTAAAACCCCAGTGGGGGTTCCTTCTGGGGTAGATTAGATCATTTTTAATTGCCCCTAAATTTGCTGTGTTACTAAAACGTCCTTCTCTGGATTAGTTCTTTGGCACTGGGCTAGATCTACCATAAATAACTGGGCTTCAGCTGTCAAGAGTCCATTTTGAGGGGGCATGAAGTTTCTTGGGGCTACAGTATCAATGTTAGTGAAATAGCAGCCAACTATTCCGATACCTGAGTCCTCGGCTCACTGGAGCTAGTGCAGTCTCTCTCTTAGCTTGCAGGAGGCAAGTATCTTCCCGGATCCCAGTCCTCGCTCCTGAAACATTGTAGTTGGATGGATTTTCTAGTCCCTTAGCACCCTCACTGGAAATGATGAAAGGTCTGGTGATTGGTTCACACGCTGCACATGCGTAGTGCTGATAATAGCGATGGAAAGGCACTCGTGCTCTTGGTTCTGAGGAGGAGCGAGATGGTGACAGAGGTGGCCACACAGCTTGGCCTGATGCTGTCAATGGGACTCATTCCTCACAGCAGCCCATGTGTCTGACGGGACACCGACCGTCCTGGTAGCTGCCAGTTTGTGTCCCAGCCTCAATGTGTCCTTTAAATACGGGGTTCTCTTTGGACTGTTAAACCCATTCTGTTTCTAGGAGTGAGCCAGGTTTAGTGCCCCCATCATGCTGCCACACTGCCATTTGTTATTTTAACTACTCGTAACCCAGAGATGACAATCCAGCATATCTCCAAATTAGCCTTTTTATTGAAATCAATAAAGGAGAAAACACATGACACTAAACTATTTGGTGGCAGCTTTGTTATAAACTCATTACTGGGGAAACAGCAATTGCAGAGACCTTTAACCACTGTCATTGATTCCAGCGCAGAGAAGGTGATCTACTGAGTTAATCAGTGGTGTTACTGTGGGCAGCAGTGTCCCTGCGCTGCCCTGCTTAGGGTTCAGTTAGCATTTCCATATAAAACCCTTTTTATAATTTGGACACAAATATCTCCACCAAAGTAAAAATTACCAAAAATGTAATATTGGCCTGAAAAGTCAATATTAAATATTTTAACACACTTTAAATCCACAAATATAATGCCAGCACATAGCTGG